TTAAGTTCTTTTTGGGATAGTTTTCAGAAGATTTTTTTTCTAAGCTGATATAATTAACCCTTGGCAAATAATAAGATATTAGTATAGTAATCACTAGGACGTAGAGTCTTACTATTTGTCAATTCTACAATCACCAATATGAAAAAAGAAAAGCAGAGAAAAACAAAAGATTATGAATAACAATTTTATACCAATAAATTCTTCCCTTAGTGGGATGGAGGTGGTTGTCTGAAGAAGATATCTTTGATAGAGATATTTCGGGTTTTCATATGTTGTCATTCTCATTATTGTTGTACTTTAATGGTGTCATCTTATCATCCTCTAATTCGTGATACATAAAATTTATTAAATTATATTGATAGAATATATTAGAGCGAACTAAGTTAAATATCGTACCATAAAAAATTACTCTATAATATTCTTAGCTTTCTCACATACATAAACAACAACAACAAACTCAGTAAAATCGCATAAGTAGGTTTGGGAAGAGTAGTGTGTAGTATATATGCATACCTTACCCCTACCCTGAAAAGGTTATTTTCAGAAAGACTCTCGACTCGAGAGGATGAATTGAAAACAATCAAATATCAACAACAATAGCTAGAAAAATGATAACAACAATGTAAGAACCAGAAAAATAGATGGAAAAAAAGCAATAGCACTAGCAACAAGCAGTAACCACAACAAGATACTAGAAAATCGAACCGGAATATAGTAAAGAAACAACCATAATGCTAGCAATCTAGGAATAACGACAAGATACTAACAAACTAGCCCTAGACAACCCGGAAAGGATCAGAAAAATGCCTGACTACCTACTACCCTTCTACCCTAATTCTCGACCTCCGCAACCTCCAATCAAGAACCATGTACTCAGTAAGCTGAAGTCGCTCCACGTCCTGCGTGATCACCTCTCCCTAATATTTCTTAGGCCGCCCTCTACCTCTTTTCACACCCGCCAAAGTCAACCGTTCACACCTCCTAACTGGGGTATTTATGCTTTTCCTTTTCACATGCTCGAACCATCTAAGCCTCACTTCTCACATCTTTGTCCTCCATGGAGGCCACGCCCACGTTTGCCCGAATATCCTCATTCCTAACCTTATCCAACCTAGTGTGCTCGCATATTCATCTCAACATCCTTATTTCAGCTATGTTCATTTTCTGGATATGGGAGTTTTTGGATGGCCATCACTCCGTCCCTTACAACATAGTCGGTCTAACAACCGCTTTGTAGAACTTACATTTAAATTTTGATAGCACATTCTTGTCACAAAAGACGCCAGATGCTAACCTCTATTTCATCCACTCCTCCCCTATACGGTGTGTGATATCCTTGCCAGTCTCCCCGCTCCCTTGGATAACTCACCCAAGAAAATTCCCAAATGTAACATTCTAACTGCGACGCCATTTCCACGTGATAGGTGGATTCAATAATTTGATTTGACAAAAATGTTATTTCCCCTTGACAACAAATCTTCTATCTATATAGAATAGGAGAAGCAAATTAATGTGATAATTCCAAGTGTAGCAGCAAAAATTTAACAAGTGTCAAATGTTAGGACAAGCTCCAACAAATTTGGAGTTTTAAAAATTATTTTTTAAAAAAAGAAAAAAGAAATTGATAAAAAAAACAAAGAACCAAGAAATTAACTACCTAAATTTAACTACTCAAACATGAGTGAGGGTTAGTTAATTCTTTTGTTTCTTTTTTTAAAAATCATTTTCATTTTTCTTTTTAAAAATAAAAAGTGCATTTGTTCATTAAAGTTCAGAAAATATTATTAAAAACAAGAGAATATATATAAAATAAAAAATATTTTAATCTATCTATATAGAATAGGAGAAGCAAATTAATGTGATGATTCCAAGTGTAGCAACAAAAATTTAACAAGTGTCAGATTTTAGGACAAAGCTCCAACAAATTTGGAGTTTTAAAAAAAAGGTTTTTAGAAAAAGAAAAAAGAAATTGATAAAAAAAACAAAGAACCAAGAAATTAACTACCTAAAATTAACTACTCAAACATAAGTGAGGGTTAGTTTATTTTAGTTAATTCCTTTGTTTCTTTTTTTAAAAATCATTTTCATTTTTCTTTTTAAAAATAAAAAGTGCATTTATTCATTAACGTTCAGAAAATATTATTTAAAACAAGAGAATATATATAAAATAAAAAATATTTTAATATTAATTAAACATACTATATCTTCTATTGTATTACAAAAAGAAAGTAACAGACAAAACTATTAAACAAAGTAATATGCTAATAATATTTTTATTAATAATGAAATTATACTAAATATTGGATAACATAATAAAGAAAAATACAAAACAAAAAAGTTATTTGTTGACTATAGAAGTCCCTTTAATTTAATAATTTTATTTATTAAAATTCAGAGAATATCTTCTATCTGTATAGAATAGGAGAAGCAAATCAATGAGATGATACCAAGTGTAACAATAAAACTTAACAAGTGTCAAATTTTAGGACGAAGATCCAACAAATTTGGAGAATAAAAAATTATTTTAAAAAATAAAAAGAAAATGATAAAAAAAAAATGAAGACACAAAAAAATTAACTACCGAAACGTAACTACTCAAACATGGGTGAGGGTTGGTTTATTATAATTAATTTCTTTGTTCTTTTTTTAAAAAATCATTTTCGTTCTTCTTTTTAAAAATTTATTCACTAAAATTCAAACAATATTATTGAGAACAAGAGAATATATATA